GGAGGGGATGGGAGAGATGGGGTGGGATGGGCCAGGGGAACACAGGGGGATGGAGGTGCTGCAGGGGCTGAGTGTGGTGGGGCTGGGCAGGGTGTGTTGGTGTTCATGTGTGTGTTTGTGTGTGTGTGTCAGTGACTGTGCAGGTGTGTCAGGCTCTGGACATGTGTCTGTGCACATGTCAGTCTGTACATGTGTGTCAGTGTCTGCACACGTGTGCCAGTACTTGTACACATATCTGTGCAGATCTGTCAGTGTGTGTATGTGTGTCAGTGTCTGTGTGTGTGTCTGTGTCTGTGTGTCAGTGACTGTACACATGTGTCAGCACCTGTACATGTCTGTGTGTGTGTCAGTGTCTGTGTGTGTGTCTGTGTCTGTGTGTCAGTGTCTGTACACATGTGTCAGCATCTGTACATTTGTGTGTGTACATGTGTCAGTGGCTGCACACGTGTCGGTGTCTGTACACATCTGTGCATGTGTCTATGTGTGTCTGTCAGTCTACACGTGTGTCTGTACATGTGTATGTGTCTGTGTGAGTCTGTACACGTGTATGTGTGTGTCAGTGTCTGTACACATGTCAATGTCTGTACATGTGTCTGTGTGTGTGTGTGTCTATATGTGTGTCTGCATCTGCACGTGTGTCTGTGCATGTGTCAGTGTCTGTACACATGTGTCAGCATCTGTACATTTGTGTGTGTACATGTGTCAGTGGCTGCACACGTGTCGGTGTCTGTACACATCTGTGCATGTGTCTGTGTGTCTGTCAGTGTACACGTGTGTCTGTACATGTGTATGTGTCTGTGTGAGTCTGTACACGTGTATGTGTGTGTCAGTGTCTGTACACATGTCAATGTCTGTACATGTGTCTGTGTGTGTGTGTGTCTATATGTGTGTCTGCATCTGCACGTGTGTCTGTGCATGTGTCAGTGTCTGTACACATGTGTCAATGTCTGTACATGCATCTGTGTGTGTGTCAATGTCTATACATGTGTTTGCATGTGTGTTAGGGCCTGGACATGGGTTTGCACTTGTGTCAGTGACTGGGCATGGATCTGCACATGTGTCAGTGCCTGTGCACATGTTCACACACGTGTCAGTGCCTGTCCATGTGATTCCATGTGTGTCAGTGCCTATACATGCTCTTACATACACACCTGTGGCACACATGAGTGTGAGACATGTCAGGGCTGGATTTACACCCCAACACCCATGACAAAGCCATGGCTGTGTGTTCAGCCCCTCACACACGTGTGTGACAGACTGGGGCATGTCAAGGCCATGGTTAATCATCTCCAGCCCTGTCCCAGGGCAAAGGGCCTTCAGGTCCTATGTGGCCTCTTCGGGGACAGGAGAGCAAAGGTCATGGGGGAGGGAAGAGACAGACCCACAGGGACTCCTGGGAGGGCCTGTTTGAGGGGCTCAGGGTGCCCCTGGGGGTACCAGTGGCATTGAGGCACCCTTGGGGGGGATCAGGGAGACCTTCTGGGGTGCACTGGGTGCCCAGCTGGGACCTCTGGAGCACCCACCTAGGATGCCTGGGGTGCCCACCTGATCAAATCCCCATTTAGGGGTATGTTGGGTGCCCACCTGGGCTCCTTTTGGTACCTGCTGTGCTCACCTGCCCGAGGTGCCCATCTGGGGTCCCTTGAGTGCCCATTTGGGACACCTGTAGTGCTCACCTGCCCCAGGTGCCCACCTTGGCACACCCATCCACGACTCCCATCATGCCCACCTGACCAGGTGCCCACCTGAAGGTCTTTGAGGTGTCCCACTCTGATCCTCTGTGCCCCCTCCCCATGTCCACCCCCTGTCCCCCTGTCCCCACAGAGCTCCAGGTGGCCGTGGAGGAGGTTCTGCCCGAGCTGAAGCGTGATGGCATCCGTGTCTACTACCTGAGCTCCACATCACCCACGCCAGGGGTGGAGGCACTGCTGCCCTCCATCGAGGAGGCCTCGGATGCACCTCTGCCCCCACATCACCGTGCCAGGGTCACTGCCGACTCCAAGGCCCTCTATATCTACACCTCGGGCACCACAGGTGAGTTCTGGGGACAAGAGTCCCTGGGGTGTGACAGGGGAGGAGCCTCAGGAGGTTTTCCCCCCCTGGGGGTGTGGGTAGGGGAAGATAGGCAGGTTGGAGGGGTCGTGTGGGGTCTTTGTCCAGTACTGACCATTGTAGGTCCCTCGATCCAAACAGATACACCCCGACTATTGTGGCTCCACTTGGGCCAGGTGTGTCCTGGCTTTCTCCAGGTGAGGGTTGGGTATCACCATGTACCTTACTCTGTCCTTGTTGGGTCAGTACAGGACCTGAACCTAAACCAGACCCAACACTGACCACCCACCTGGTCCAGGTGTATCCTGGCTGTGTCCAGTTAAGAGTTGGGTATCACCATGTACTTGGCTCTGTCTTTGTTGGAGTGGGATCTCCTTTGTCATCCCTCAACCCAAAACAGACCCCAACACTGATCATTGCAGGTCCACCTGGGCCACAGGTGTCCTGTGGCCAGGTGAGCATTGGGTAACACCACATACCTCACTCTGTCCTTGTTGAGGCTGGGACCTCCCTTGACACCCCTCAAACCAAGCCAGACCCCAGCCATGACCATCCACCTGGGCCAGGTGTGTCCTGGCTGTGTCCAGTTAAGGGTTGGGTATCACCATGTACCTGGCTCTGTCCTTGCTGGGGTGAGACAGGACCTCTTTCATCATCCCTCAACCCAAACCAGACCCAACTCTGACCACCCACCTGGGCCAGGTGTCCTGTGTCCAGGTGAGGTTTGGCTATCACCACATACCTCACTCTGTCCTTGTTGAGACAGGACAGGACCTCCCTTGTCAACCCAAACCAGATCCAACCCTGGCCATTGTGAGTCCATCTGGGCCAGGTGTGTTCTGGCTGTGTCCACATGAGCACTGGGTATCACCACATACTTGGGTCTGTCTTCATTGGGGTGGGACCTCCCTTGTGACCCCTGAACCCAAACCAGACCCGCCCTGACCACCCACCTGGGCCAGGTGTGTCCTGTGTCCAGGTGAGGGTTGGGCATCACTCACCACATACCAGGCTCTGTCCTTGTTGGGATGGGACAGGACCTCCCTTGCCACCCCTCAACCCAAACCAGACCCCAACCAGCACAAGAGCAACTGGATGAGGTCCCTCATGGCTCCTCCAATGTGGGATGGAGACCTCCACCCCAAAGGAAGAGCTTTGCCTTTCCACCCCTCACCCCGTGTCCTCCCCTGGGGCCGTTGTCCACCCCCTGCTCCCCTCAGGGCTGCCCAAGGCTGCGGTAGTGACGGAGCTGAAGATGATGATGGTGGCCCAGCTGGCGAGGATCTGTGGGCTGCGTCCGGATGACGTGGTCTACACCACTTTGCCGCTCTACCACTCAGCAGGATTCCTTGTCGGGGTCGGGGGCTGCCTCGAGGTCGGTACGTAACCACTGGCATGAGGGGAGGGGCAGGGGTGGGCAGAGGGGAGGGATGGAGGGATGGTTGGTGGGTAGAGGGATGGATGGTGGACAGGTGGACAGGTGGATGGATGGATGGATGGATGAATGGATGGAGGGAGGGATGGAGGGACGGATGGAGGAAGGATGGATCGAGGGGAATGGATGGATGTGGAGGGAGGTGGGTGGGTGGATGGATGGACAGATGGATGGATGGATGGATGGATATGTGGATGGATATGTGGATGGGTACCACCCCCTGCCATTTCCCCCCAGGAGCCACCTGTGTCCTGCGAGCTAAGTTCTCAGCCTCCCAGTTCTGGGATGATTGTCGCCGCTACAACGTCACCGTCATCCAGTACGTGGGGGAGCTCATGCGCTACCTCTGCAACACGCCCAAGGTGAGTTTGTCACCAGTCCCAAACCCACCTGGGGAGGTCAGGGACACGGTGGGACACACCCCAAGGTGGTCCCTCCCTGTGTCCCTCCCAGCGCCCCAATGACAGGGAGCACGGGGTGCGCATGGCCTTGGGCAACGGCTTGAGGGCTGAGGTGTGGAAGGAGTTCCTGCAGCGCTTCGGCCCCGTCGCCGTCTGGGAGTTCTACGGAGCCACCGAGGGCAACGCTGGCTTCATCAACTACACCGGCAAGATCGGCGCCGTGGGCAGGGCCAACGTCTTCCTCAAGGTGAGAATGTGGCGAGAATATGTTACGATAGGTGAGAACGTGTTCCTCAGGGTCAGAACGTGTTCCTCGAGGTAAGAATATGTTCCTAAGGGTGAGAGTGTGTTCTTTGAGGTGAGAACATGTTTCTCAAGTGAGAATCTGTTCCTCGGGGTGAGAATGTGTTAAAAACATGTTCCTCGAGGTGAGAACGTGTTCCTCGGGGTGAGAATATGTACCTCAAGGTGAGAACATGTTCCTTAGGGTGAGGTTTTGTTCCTCGAGGTGAGAACATGTTAGTCAAGGTGAGAATATGTTCTTCAATGTGAGAGCATGTTCCTCATGGTGAGAATGTGTTCCTGGAGGTGAGAACACATTGAGAACCTGTTCCTCAAGGTGAGAACATGTTCCTCGAGGTGAGAATGTGTTCCTCAAGGTGAGACACCTGTGGTGACACTGGTGATGAGGGGAGCAAATGCTGACAGACTTGGGGGAACCTACATGGTATGTCAAATTCAGTTGCAGCCAAGAGAGGGTCTTGGATGGTCTCCTCGTGGTGATGCACATGGTGACACCCCCAGAGAGGTCAACACCATCCATGGCTGATACAAGAGAGGTCCCCCCAGGACTCCCAGTTTGCACCCAGAAGGAGTTCCCTCTGCCTAGTTGGTCAACGTAGACTCAAGAGCATTGACTCACGGTCTGTTTTTGGGTGTCCATGGGGAACAGGTCTTCTTTGTGCCACAGGAAAGGTCTGTCTGGGGCCACAGCTCAATCCCCACCCATGTGTGGACCAAAAACTGCACAAAGCAGATTTTCTCCCCCTTTTCCTCCTGTTGGGTTGTCCCACAGGGCCTGGATGTGGAAGGCACCACCATGAGTTTGGTAATTGCTTGAGCTGATTAGATTACACCTTACTTAAGTAGATTTAAATAAGACTTAAGGATCTGAATTTCAATTTCAAGATTTAAATTTAAATTCAAGATATAATTATCAATTTGAAGCTTTAAATTTCAATTTCAATATATAAATTTCATTTTTGAGCTTTCAGTTTCAAGATATAAATTTCAAGATGCAAATTGCAATTTCAAAACTTAAATTTTGATTTGAAGATATAAATTTCAATGTGAAGATTTGATTTCCAATTTAAAACTAAATTCCGATTTCAAGATGTAAATCTCAGTTTCACGGCTTAAACTTCAATTTCAAGGCTTAAATTTCCATTTCAAGTTTAAATCTCAATTTCAAGCTGAAAATTTCAATTTCAGGATGTAACATTGGGGACAATTAAACTCGTCTTTCCACAGGAGGTTGTGACTGGGGAGGACACTCCCAGGTGTGTGGGTTGTGATGAACCAGTTGAGATAGCACTGGGTGGAAAGTCTTTTCCTTCTCTTGAATCCCACATTTGTCCCTCTGTCCTTCCTGTCCCTCCAGTGTTTTGCTCCCTTCGAGCTGATCAGGTACAATGTGGAGGAGGACGAACCCGTCCGTGACGCACGAGGACTCTGCATTCCTGTCAGCCCCGGTAAGGGAGAAGCCTTCACAGTGACTTCTAGGTGGGACAGAGAGGGGAGAGGCAGCAAACTCACCTCTTGGCCCTCATCATCATCATCCTGGGGATAGAAGCCACCAGAAACCCCTCAAAGAATCCACAGTGTCACCCCATAGCACCTAGTAGGGCATGCAGGGGATGTCCTTCCACATCAAAGGCACCTCTTGGTCCTTATCATCATCATCCCAGGGACTGGAAGCCACCAGAAACCCCTCAAAGATCCCAGAGTGTCACCCCTGAGCACGTGATGGAGCAGAGGTGACATTCCCCCAAACCAAACCCACCTCCTGATCCTCAGCAGCAGCAGCAGGTGGTGGAGTCACAATCCCTGGAGGTGTTTAAGGAGACACCGGACATGGCACTTGGTGTCATGGTCTAGTTGACATGGTAGTGTTAGGGCACAGATTGGACTCGATGCTCTCAGAGGTCTTTTCCAACCTGAATTATTCTGTGATCATAATCTTGGGGACTGGAAGCCACCAGAAAGCCCTCAAAGAAGCCAGAGTGTCACCCCTGAGCACCTGGTGGGGCACACAGTTGACATTCCTCCATACCAAAGGCACCACTTGGTCCTCATCATCATCCTGGGGGCTGGAAGTCACCAGAAACCCCTCCAAGAACCCAGTGCATCCCCCACACACATGGTGGGGCACAGAGGTGATGTTCCCCTATGGCATCCAACCCCTTTCTCCACTCCCAGGTGAGACAGGACTGTTGGTCATCAAGATCACCAAGAACACCCCATTCCATGGCTACGCTGGTGACTCCCAGAAGACAGAGAAGAAGGTCTTGAGGAATGTCTTGGTCAAAGGTGATGCCTACTTCAACAGCGGAGACCTCCTCATGATGGACCAGGAGAGGTTCATCTACTTCCAGGACCGTGTGGGAGACACTTTCCGGTAACTCTAAGGTTCTCCCGTGTGGTTGGTGCCACCCACCAGCCCCAACCTCCTCACAGCTCCATCTCTTCTCCTCCCCAGGTGGAAAGGTGAGAATGTGGCCACAACGGAGGTAGAGGCCACACTTGCCATGGTGAACTTCATCCAGGAGGTCAATGTCTATGGTGTCTCTGTGCCAGGTGAGTGGGACCGAAACAGAACCTGGTGGTGATTGGGCCATGTCCCCACGTGGTCTGAGAGGCCATCGGGAGGTTAAAGGGGGACTTGGTGGCCCAAACTGAGCATCCAATGTTGTTTTGGGCACACAACGTCCTTCACAATGGCTCAAGGAGCCACCAAAAAAGGCCAAACAGGACTTGATTGACCAAAGCAAGTGTCAAGTGCTGGGCTGGGTCCACATGGCCATGAAGGAGGCAAAAGTGGGGAACACCCACCCAAAATGAGCATCTGGTGTTGCTCTGGGTACATCACTGCTGTCCCAGTGGCCTCCAAGGTGCCTCAAATGGGACAAACCCACCCAAAACCAGCACCCAGTGTCATTCTAGGAAACAGAATCAAGTGTCAGGTACCAGTTTGGGTCCGCATGGCCATGAAGGAGGTAAAAGTGGGGAATGTCTGTCCACTCAAAATCACTATCCAGTGTCGCTCTGGGTAGGACATCACCATCCCAGTGGCCTCCAAGGTGTCTCAAGTGGGACAACCCACCCCCAGCTCACCATCTGGTGTCCTTCTGACCATGTCACCATCCCAAGGCACCTCAAGTTGGCCAAACCCAACCAAACCACATTTGGCCACCAAGAGGTCCTCAGGCAGCCCCCTAGAAGGTCCCCCCCAGGCTGGGGTTCCAGGCTGAGGTGGGCTCTGTGCTCAGGGTGTGAGGGACGCTGTGGCATGGCTGCTCTGCGCCTGAAGGACGGTGCCAGCTTTGACGGTCGCAGCCTCTACGCCTTCACACGTGACACTCTGCCTGGGTACGCTGCCCCACGCTTCCTTCGCATCCAGGTCAGTGGGAGCAGCTCGAGGGGTGTCCGCGGGAGCTTCGGGGGGGGTTGGAGAGCTCTGTGCTCTGGATGAGGGGTGAGGTGGCAGTGACCAGGACCGACTGCGGTGTTGGTGTCCACCCCAGTTTGGCAGGATGGTGGTGAGTACATGGTGTTGGGGGTTACCCACTCCTGGGGATAGGGTTGTGCCAATGGAGTCACCCTATGCCCATGGGACTCACTCAATGCCAAGAAGGGTCATCCTGTACCAATGGAGGTCACCTGGTACCAAGGAGGGTCACCCTGAGCCTATGGAGGTCACAGTGTGTCCATGGGGTTCACCAATGCCAATGGAGGATCACCCCATACCCATGGGGGTCATCCAGTGACAACGGGTGGTAACCCAGTGCCCATAGAGTTCATCCTGCACCTATGGGTGTCACCATGTGCCAGTGAAGGTCATCTGGTACCAATGGAGGTCACCCAGTGCCCATGGAGGAGACCCAGTGCCAATGGGGCTCACCCCATGCCAACAGGGGCCACCCTGAGCCCATGGAGGTCACATAGGGCCAGGAGAGGTCACACAGTGCAAATTGGAGTCACCCATGGTGATCACCCAATGCCAGTGGAGGAGACCCAGTGCCAATGGGGGTCACCCTGTGCCAATGAGGATCACCTGGTACCAACAAGGGGTCACCTGGTACCAATGGGGGTCACACTGTTCTCATGAGGGTCACTCAGTGCCAGTGGAGGAGACCCAGTGCCAATGGAGGTCACATAGTGTCCATGGACGTCACAGTGTGCCAACGGAGGAGACCCAGTGCCCATGGGGGTTACCCAGTGCCAACGGAGGTCACGTAGTGTCCATGGAGGTCACAGTGTGCCAATGGAGGAGACCCAGTGCCAATGGGGGTCACCCTGTGCTCATGAGGGTCACCAAGTGTCAATGGAGAAGACCCAGTGCCCATGGGAGTCACTCGGTGCCAATGGAGGAGACCCAGTACCCATGGGGGTCACCCAATGCCAGTGGGGGGTCACCCCATGCCAACAGGAGTCATCCAGTCACCCTGTGCTGATGAGCATCACCTCATACCAACAGGGGGTCACCTTGTACCAACGGGGGTCACCTTGTGCCAATAGGGATCACAATGTGCTAATGGTCACCCTGTGCCAATTGGGTGTCACCTAGTTGGAGTCACCTAATGCCAGTGGGGGATCACCCTGTGCCCACGGGGGTCACAATGTGCTAATAGAGGTCACCTGGTATCAATGGAGGTCACCCTGTGCCAATGGGGGTCACTCAGTGCTCATGAGAGTCACCCGGTGCCAACGGAGGAGACCCAGTGCCAAGAGAGGTCACCTTGTGCCCATGGGGGTCACCCTATGCCAATGAGAGTCATCCAGTGACAGTATAGGTCACCCTGTGCTGGTGAGGGTCACCTGGTACCAAGTGGGGGTCATCTTGTGCCCATGGGGGTCACCCTGAGCCCATAGAGATCACCCAGTGCCAACCCCGCCACATGTCCCCCCCCAACGACACATCCCAACACCAGTGACCCAAATGGTCCCCATTTCCCACGATGGCACGTGGTGACAACCTCAAGGTCCTCCATGTCCCCAGGACGCTCTGGAGATCACAGGGACCTTCAAGCAGTGCAAGGGCAACCTGGTCAAGGAGGGCTTCGACCCCCACATCATCAAAGACCCTTTGTTCTTCCGCGACGATGCCAACAAGTCCTACGTCCCACTGACCCCAGACACATTCGCTGCCATCAGGGACAAGAAACTCAGCCTCTAGCAGAGCTCTGCTAATTAATTCAGGGAGGATAATTCATTAACAAGGCTAATTGGGGGCTAATCAGGCAGTCTGGACTCCCCGGGGGGGGTGTTGTCCCACTCAGTGTTGTGTAAATTAAAGCCTTAATTCCCATTCTTTGGGTGCTGGAGCCCTGAGGGATGTTTTGGGGGGTTGAACCCCCCGTTTTCCTGTCTAGGGAACAGAGATGCCCCAAATCCTTGTGGCTGTGCTGGGGCAGTTGGTTCAGTTCTGGATCTGATGCCACAAAACTCTTCCTGGTCCTACCTTGGGATCATTGTGTTGCTTCAGCTCATCGAGTCGGAGCAAATCCCACTTGTTCCTGCCCATAAATTCCCACAGACCTCTGTAAATTTCCCATAAATTGTCATAAACCCCCATAAATTCCCCATAGATCTGCACAAATTTCTATAAATCCCCACAAATCTCCATAAACCCCATGAATTCCCATAGATTTCCATAAATTCTCATACAACCCCATAAATCCCCATAAATTTCCACAAACCTCCACAAATTACCATAAATCCCCATTAACCTCTGTAAATCCTCACAGATCCCCACAGACTCCCATAAATCTTCATAAACCCCTGTAAATCCCTATAAACCCTCATAAATCTCCATAAAACCCTACAAACCCTCATAAATTCTCATGAACCCCCACAAACCTCCATTAAAAAACCCAATAAATCTCCATGAATTTTCCATAAAACCCCATAAATCCCAATAAATCTCCAGAAATCCCCAGAAATTGCCATCAATCCCCATAAATTCCCATTAATCTCCATAAATCCCCACAAACCCCCACAAACTCTGATAAATCTCCCCAAATTTCCATAAATCACTACAAAACCCCATAAATTCCCAATAATCTCCATAAATCCCCATAAACCCCCACAAACTTCCAGAATCCCTACAAATCCCCCTAACTCCTTACAAATCCCCATAAAACCCCATAAACCTCCATAAATCCCTATAAACCTCCAGAAACCCCCATAAATCTCTATAAATTTCCCAGAAACCTCCATCAATCCCCATAAACCCACCAAAATCCCAAGAAACCCC